TTAGCTATTTAAAAGTTTTTGTTTTTTATGTAATTTCTTTAATGTAAATTTTTAATTTTATAATTTAATAACAAATTAATTTATTTTTTATTTAATAATTTAATTTTTTATACGAATAATAATTGAGTATTCTGTTAGAACTCAATGATTATTCTAATTATATTTTAGATTTTTTATATTTAAAATGAGATTTTTATCTTGTATTTGATTATGTTTATCTGCAGTTAGTTACACGAATTCAAACATAGAGCTTTAATAAATTGTATTTACGCACAACTTACTTGTAATCTTATACTTTAAGTAATATGCATTAATAAACATTATTTCATGCATTGAATTTTTTTTAAGTGTTTTTGTCAAATATTTTATGATATAATATATATATATATATATATATATATAGAGAGAGAGAGAGAGAGAGAGAGAAAGAAAGATTAATTATTTAATATATTAAGTAATATTTGTATTAAGTTTATAATTTAGGTATTTTCTGTTTTTAAATTATCAATTACATTTAAGTAATTTAATTTTTAATTGAAAATGAAAATTAGTAAAAAAGAAAACTCGAATAATTTTGATCAATGAAACTTATACATACATAAATAGAAATTGTATAATTGTAGACCGTTTAACAAAATAAAAATTCAATTCATAAAAAAAAACATGATATTGGTTATAGTGTTATGCTAATATAATTACATAGATTCATTTAATAATTATTATTATAAAAATTAATTATATACTATAATTATATCTTTTACAAAAAAGTTTAAATAATAAGTAAATATATTATTTTATTGGTTATTATAATAATATTAATATATATTACCATGTATAATATAATTTATACCTACAATTAAAATATATAATATATTTATATACATAATATAATATATATGTAGAGGTGTATCCATAATATATCCCATGGTTTGCTTTTTATTTATATATTATTATATAATATATATGGTGTATATTTAGTATATTGTATATAGTCATCGGTTCAAATAAGAAGCAATAAAAATATAAGAATCAGAGATACAATCTCAATCATTAATTTAAGATTTTCATTTTCAAGTTTTTTTTTTCTTGAAATTAGGATAACTAAAAAAAATCAAATATCCTAATTTATTTATGATATTTTCTATAACATTTTTTTGGATATTAATAATTATTGATTTTTTATCCAGCTTTTCATCTTGAAATCATTGACGATTTTACAATTTATAAGTCGAACTAAATCTCGTTTGCCTAAATTTCATATGTGAACACGAATAACAATGTTTTTCATTGGTTTATATATTTTAATTATAACTTGTACGTAAGTCGATTTACAACTTATACGCGAGATTATGAATCAGTTTAAAATTAATATGTGAATCTTAAAAAATATATATTAACATGGATCTTAAATTAAAGTTAATTAAATTCTTGGTTTTTGATATAACTTATTTAAATAAAATATTGATTATATTTTAGATAATTTAATTTAAAAAAAATCGATAATATAATGACACGGTCGAAAAAACGTGTTCCCTTCAGATAAGACGCACCGTAGGCCATCCGTGGACTCCGTTGTTTAAAAAGGAAAGTGGTTAAATTTTTTGAAGTAGTGAACTGTGATTTAATTAAACAAAAATTTCAAAATGTCTCCCTCGACTTTATTAGGTCCTAATTGAAGATCAATCCTAATAAGATGCACTGAAATTTACCGGATAAATTCCTGTGAAAAACGCAATTCATAGGGTGAGATGAGATTAAAAATGATATATATATATATATATATATATATATATATCTTGATTTAGTAAAATCTAATTTACATGTTTTTCACATTATAAGGTAATTTTATTATTAATTCAGTTTAAGTGAAAAATTAAAAACAAATTCAAAGAAAGGATATTTTGTTATTCTTTGATTTCCAATTTATAAGTCACATTCTCTATTTTTTAATATAAATTATTAATACATACAAAATATTTCAGCATAGAAAATATCAATTATTATAAAGTATTTAGGTTTTGTTCTTAAAACTCTTATTTTTTAAGGATATAACTTATAAAATATTAAGTATAAATTATTAACACAAAAACTATCTTTCAATTTTTAAATATTCCTATTTTACCCATTTTTAAGTGGTAAGAACAGAGTTTGGAGATTAAACAGTTAATGTCCTTTTAAATTATAAGGTCAATTAACCAGATAAACTAAAAAATATTTGAAAATTTTGAAAATATCATCTCACAATTGATCCATTTGCAAAAAAAAAAAAAAAAAAAAAAAAAAAAAAAAAAAAAATCGTTATTATTTTTAAACAACTCAATTTTTAGTTTGCAATTAATTTTTTTTTCTGTTGCATCGCACATGTATTTTGTAGTTAAATTTGGTAAAAATAATTCTTAAAAATAATTTTTTAATCAATAAATACCATATATTAATGCAAATATCTTAAAATTTAATATCACAAGTTATTATAAATTTACCTTATTATTAAAAATCTAAATTGTTTTAAACGTAATTAATTTTATAATCAAATGAAATTGGAAAAAATGAGTATTTTATTCTTTTTACTTGTATAACCATATCAATATATTATGTAACAAGGTTTTAACAATTTCGATCACGGATATATTCAACAATATATTTATTATATTATAAAACACTTACATCTTGTTTTTAAAATTTAAGTTTACAACTTATTACTATATATGTACAATTTTCTTAAAACTTTATAAGTAAAACTAACAGATAAACACATTCAAATACAAGATAAACATCAAACCCTACTTATGTGGGTGACACTCCATAAAACTGATAATTCATTGAAATTTTTTCTCTCTCTCAAGAACATACAAAATCATAAAATAGAATCGAAAGGGACAAGATTGGAATAAAACGTGAACCGGGATTAAGAGTTAAAATTCTCAACTTTAGAATCAAGATGTACCACGCTACATAATACGAATATCTTTTAGTTACTATAGAAATATATTTATAAATATTTAATTAATTTTTAACCAAATTTAATGGATTGTTTTTTCACTTTATAACTTTCACAAAAAGAATTATCATCAAAGCAATTTTATTCTTATTTTAATTGTTTCAACTTTTTTTATAAACATACAACGGTTAAAAAGGAAATTTACTTAAAATATAAAATAATAATAAAGTTTTGATTAAAAAATACTATTTAAATAAAATGTTGACACAAATTTAAGGATAAAGAAAGTAATTATAAAATAACAAGAGACTTTAATGTTAATTGATTTTTGATATTTAATATCATATATTTGTGCATTAATTACAAAAAATACCTAAATTTATCGATCCAAATATAATAATAATTATTTTTAATTTCGTATAAAAAACCATGTTTAAATTTATAGAAAAAATTGAAGTTAACATTTTTCTTACAAAGCGTGGTAATTTATTTTTCTAAATATTATTTGTAGCTTCTGTTTCTTTAAGACAATTATATGAGGTTTCGGTTACATGGTCGTTAACCGTATCTAGAGTATTCGAGGGACACGTTTTTTTTTTCTATCACATCTTTTCTATGAAGTCCAACTGTTAATTAAAATAAAATATATCATATGATCCTTATGACAGCTTTTTAGATTTATCTTATTTTGATTTTGTAAGTGATACTAGCTTAATTACCAATGCTAATAAAAAAGATGGACCCCACCTAGAGTCATCATATGTGGGTGAATCCGACTCTTACACGATGTTTTTTGGATCCAAGTTTCAGTCACATGTTGGAAGAGATGTTTTTATGTCTTGTTGAAATCTCCACAGTTTTTTTTAAATATATTTATAACACTTATTTTTTTTTATCATCATCATCAAAGTTATTGATTTGGTATATATTCTTTTATTTTGTAATTATAATTTAAGATATTTACCTAATATTTAAATATTAAAAAAAATTCATTTAAGGCATCAAAAATTATGCGGGGTCCATTCATATGAGAAATGGAGAAAAAGAATATCTAATATTTTACTAAGTACGAGAAGAAATAAAAGAGAAAATCAGCAAGATAAAAAAAAGAAAAAAGAAAAAAAACAAATCAACCAGATCTGTAAAAAATTGGCATCGTGAATAAAATAAGACATAGAGGCGCATCCAGAAAAACCCTAATCTTTCGTGGTCACGGTCACTCTATCTCTTATTACTTTACCATCAAAGATCGATAAAAAATCTAATCAGATACAGCTCATCGAAAAGTTCAGAATAAATAGACGAAAATACCCTTGACAAAGTGTTATAAAAAGGGGGTTGATATGTTTTTGTGCACAACCCACATCAAACACATCAAACCTTACACAAAACCCCAATGTCTTACTCCTCCAAATAGAAGTGCTCCAAGATTAGGGTTTGTTACACTTTCATTGAAAGGGGGGTGAGTGAGTGATTGATTGACCACAAATCAATCTCTCTGTGTGTTGCACAAATCTGACTCCTCTCCTGCCCAATTAAAAGGTATATGTTACATTCTGAATTATTATTTCGTATTTTATTTTTTCTATTATTTAAATTAAAAAGATTGAATTTTTATTTTCCATGTCAATTTTCCCAAGAAAATGAGACATGTCTCTTTAAACATTCTGGCACTTGTCTTCCCCTACTTCTTGCGGTGTCAAACGCCCTAAAACCTCTTTGTTCTTTAATCCCAAATGATTTCCACACAAAATGCATCATTTGAATCCTTAATTTTATAAACCCTTTTCCTCACACACTTGTTTTTCCATTGTTTGTTGACTGTCTGTAGGAGACAAAAGAAAATTAAAAGGGATTGGCGCAAAAACTTGTACAAAGGTAAAATCTGTATACTAAAGGAACCCATGGAGTGTATCATCATGTTTTGTTGCTTGAAAGTGTTCAAGTATCAACTCTGATCACCGTTTTCTTTCACGTTTTGATCTGAAATTGTATCAATTTGTACTGTTCGTTTGTTGTTGTGTAAAAGCTAGACAAAAAGGAGGAATCTTGATGTCAAAAAATGACCTATAATTCTGAATTGAAAGATGGGTCGGATTTGAATAAGGTTGAGATTCCTCAAGCTTGTAGAAATGCCGAATTCTCTGTAAATCCCGATTTGTATGTAAAGGATGGAGGTGGGGATGGTTGTATCGATGAAAATGAATTGAGGGCATTGTTTGATCAAGTTCTTTCATTTTTCTTGAAAGAAGTGTCTGTGAATAAAGATGCATTTAGGCCTTTTCCACCTAAACTTGGGGATGGACAGGAGGCTGATTTATTCAAACTGTTCTTGACTGTCAGGAGGATTGGGAGTTATGAACTGGTTTCGGAGAATGACATGTGGGAATTTGTTGCAATGGAATGTGGGTTAGAAATTGGGCTTGTGGGGTCTTTGAAGTTACTTTATGTTAAGTATTTGAAAGAATTGGATCAATGGTTGATCAAAGGGGGGTTTAAAGATGAGAAGATGGAGAATGTAGAGATTGGTGTTATTCAGAAGTTAGATCTTTTATCGCGCCAATTGGATGGGCATGGATGTTCTTTATCTGATCAGATTGGAAAGTCTTTAAGTAATGGTGAAATTGTTGGATCTAAAGATGGTAAGAAGGGGATAGAGTCTGATTATAATGAGGGTATGTTAGGTGAGAAGAAAAATGAGGGTACTCTAGGGTTAAATCAAAATGAGGGAGGAATGAATCTTGATGTGGCTAAAACTAGTGTGTCGTTTTTAAGAATCAATGGTGATGACGAAGAATTGAGGGGCGGGGAAGTTAAAACATGTGAGTTATCTCCGGAGAATGTTGTCAAGAAAGTGGGATTTTCAGTGATCAATGATGACAACAGAAGAAGCGAGTTATCGCCTGAAAAAGTTGTCAAAAAGGTGGGACTTTCGGTGATTGATGATAATGATGATGATGAAGAGTTTAGTGTTGAGGATGAAAAACAAGTAGGGTTATCAATTAAAAAAGTTGTTAATGAAGTGCTTAGATTTCATTCTGACAACGATGTTACATTAACTGCGAAGGATGATGATGGAGTCAACGTTGTTTCTCATGATGTCAACATTGTTGAAAATGTTGTTAGTTCTCAGAAGAGAAAGCGGGAGGAAGAACATTTGTCACTATCAGAAATGCTAGATTGGGTAGCAAATGCTGCGAGGGATCCCCATGGTACTGCCATTGAAGCTTCCAAAGGAAGTTCCAAGGGAAAGAACGATAGGAGCGATAAATTATGGAAGCAAGTTTTGTCCGCAAGAAAGGCACTTTTTGCTGAACTTAATGTTGATTCTGGCAATGAAGCTGGTGGTTCACAGGTATAACTTGTTCTTCCCTTGATTGCATCTGCTTCGTTTATCGAATATTCAAAATGCAGTCTGTTTATGATAATTGTGCCTGTTTTAGGTTTTAATCTTGCTATGCTAGCTTACTGCGTTAAAGTTATTTGATTTCTTTTCTAAAAAGTCTTTTCTCATTTCTTGAAATCTAAGGCAATTATCTATGATCTTATATGAGAGCTGACCTTCTACGAATTTATTGATGTTCAGTTTCATCTTGGTTCATGTGAAATATGACTCATATACTAAGAAATTTCCATATAGTCCGGCTCACACCAATCTTGGAGAAGATTCGCCTTAACGAGAACAGTCTTATAATTTGAACCATAGATATACATACACACACACACATCAACACTACATCCTACACACACATAAGTTTTGTATCTGCACCATAAGGTGGCAAAGTTTTATTAAAGTTCAGTTTGTTTCGATTCGTAGTATGCAAACTGTTAAAAGAACTGTTTTTTCTATGTGTAACTAAGATTTATCACAGTTCCATGATGAGGTTTTGATCACAAATTTAGGTTTTAGAAACTAAAACACAACTGGATCTGTCGAGTTTTATAAATCTTGATGTTGTTCAAGTTGCAATCCATCAATTTGAGACCTCTGAAAGCAATGTAAATTGTCTTGATGCATTTTCATTTCGTTGGTCTCGTTTATATGGCCTGAGAAGAATTAAAGACGTTAATCATAGAAGTAAGGATCATCAAGAAACTAGGATAGGAATTATTGGAACTAAAGATTTTTATTCGTTTTGGAGAAAGGCGTTTTTATAGCTTGAAGTTCTTGGGCGAGTTTAACGTTTAACACCACCTTGTTGTTGTTTTTGGTTGTTCTGGTCTGTGTTACGTTTATGAATGCACATCGGAAGTAATATGATTTCTTGTGATTTATATGTATGCATGCTATAACGGCTAGTTCTTCTGCACGAGTGTTGGAATAATTTGAATTGTGGGACAGTGTATGCTAGTAAAGATCATGATCCACAATTAGTAGTTCGCCAACCATAGAAATAAAAATCAAACGAACTCAAAGCAGCCGCCAGCCTGATAGTTCTCGTTAAATTGGGGGTTTGTTAATCCAACTGAAATCATAGAAGGAAAAACATTACGCAGACAGTTAAGAGCCATCACCGATCTAATTGATCCAAACACAATAAGTTATGTTTTGGATAATTGGTAACTGAAGGTCATCTTTGAATACAATTTTTTGTGGATTTAAATTATATTTTTGATAAATTTATGGAGCCTTTTGGGTTTTTCAAACATGTAGAAGAAGAACCAGAGGATGCATCCTGCTATGTATGAAGATAAAGCTTCTGAAGGAACAAGATGCAGCGGAAGAGTCGTTAAACCATCCTCTCGGATAAAACGTCAGAGGGCTGAATCCGGAAAAGCTCCAGTGGACCGAACTAGTAAAACTAATGAACCACAGGATCATGAGTACAATCTGGGGTCACGCTATCAAGCTGAAGTGCCAGAATGGACAGGCCCAGTCTATGACAGTGATTCCAAGTGGCTAGGAACTCGAATGTGGCCTCCACCAGACGACCACGATGAAAAAAACGAAAAGGCTATTGTACCAGTAGGGCTAGGAAGGCGGGACTCATGTGAGTGCCTGGTTCCAGGTTCTGCTGAATGCGTGAGGTTTCACGTTGCTGAAAACAGGTTAAAACTCAAAATCGAACTCGGCCCTCTTTTCTATAAATGGAAATTCAACCTGATGGGGGAGGAAGCTTCGCTTTCATGGCAACCCGAAGAAGAAAAACAATTCAAAAGCTTGGTCATTAAGGCGCGGCAAGACTTGGCCCATAGCAACAAGTCTAGGCATGAAATCATGAACAAGTTCTGGAAAAGAGCTTCGGACTCAATTCCTGCTAAACCGAAGCAGAAACTGGTGTGTTATTACTTCAACGTTTTCGTCCTCAGGCGAAGAAGTTATCAGAACCGTGTTACGCCTAAAGAAATAGACAGTGATAACGATGAACAAGAGGTGGGAACCGTTGGAGACAGATTTGGATACGAAAAAATTCATGGTCTGAGTCTGAAGTGCTCGGAGAACAAGCAGTGCACAGATCTTGAATCTTGATCGTATAATCGTCGTTTTTGTCATCTTTTTCGTGAAGTTTTCTCAAGATCCTGATAGTAGGAATCTTGAAGTGCCATCACATTGGTCGATAGTTTTTCAGTTTTTTAGTTTTCTGTTGAACTACAGTAGATTGGTTGAACTTGATTTAGTTTCTTTATTGAAAGATGGCATTTTTGGGTATTTTTTTTGCATTTTCTCTGTGTTTCATCTTCAATCTTTGTTTCTTCACTTGGATTTGAGTTTTAAAGTTTGTGGGCAATGGGAGGATCTTTATTGGATTCCTCACACTTTTCACAATCTAACCCTCAGATCCCATTTTCGAATGGGATATATCGTGCTCGTATGTTTTTATTGCATTTAGTCTGTTAGGGTTCGATCATTATTGTGAATATGGGAAATTTTGTGTTCTTCTCTTTAATTGCTTTTGATAACGACGATCTATCGAACTTTGGCGTAAACGTACGCACGACGTTACACATGTATTTGGCCGACCATCGTAATGAGAAAAAAACATAAGATTTAAGATTCCGTTTTCAATGTTACATTAGCTTAAAAGATATAATGTGATCTCCCATTTATGATATCTTCTGTTAAATGTTAGATCAGAAAGGACTGAAAATGTATTATTCTTAGAAAAGGTAAAGTATGTGATCAGCTTGTTAAAATCTAAGGACTTGTGCATAACATTTGACCATAACAAGAGGGGCTCAAGTGAAAATTTAACTTAGAGAGTGCCGATCACGTATGGTGCGGTATAGGGTTAGAACGTAATCGGATATGCCGTTTGAGCGTTTTTCCAGACGTATGTCTCGAAACGCAAAAAATCTACACTGCAAAATATGGTGCAGTACGGTTTTTACCTAAAGTTTATTGAAATATAGGATTAATTGTATCACAACACATAATAAAAAATTTAAAACAAAAAATCAAGGTTTGATTGTTCATAAAATGCAAAGGTCCGATGCACATATCATAATTCAGCTCAAATGCATAACAACATCTGTAACAATTTTTTTCGTAATTTCTTTAAAATAAAGAAAATTAAGATCTCCAGAAAAAATACAATTAATTTCAACCGTTTCTCCCTTTTAAGATACCATTAATTATATTATTAAAATATTATTACATTTATATTTCAAGAAACTTTAAATAAAGTTTTTTTTTATCCATTTAAAAATATCATTAATTATATTATTAAAATATTTATTACATTTAATATCTTAAAAAATCTTTTATTAATTTTTTTATCTATTTTAAAATATTATTAATTATATTACTAAAATATTCAATATGTTTAATATTTCAACAATTTTTTATAGAAATTTTTTAATCCTCTCTCTTCCAGAATAAGTAAAAATTATTAATTTATCATTAATTTTGGAGATTTTCTCTTTTTTCTTCATATGGAGAAAACTTTACTTTTTCTTTTCTTTTTTTATATTTTAAATAAATATTTTAAAGATTTTATTAGAGCATGAAAATCTTCAAAATCTCTAGTTTTAAAGATTATGTTAAAGATGCTTAGTGTTTTGGAATTATACTTAGACTATATTTGACAAACTAGATGATAAGCTAACTGATAACTAATGAACTAGTTGATGAATAAATCATGTTTGACAAAAACTAGCTAATAAATATGTAAAATAGAAAAAAACATGTTCAAAATTAGTCAGCTATAATATTTTATAATATAATTAAAACAAATATTTGATAATATAAGTAAAATAAAAATAATATAATATAATATGTTAATTAAAAAAATTATAAATTGATTATTATGTATACTATAAATTCTAAATATGTTTAAACAAATTTTAGAAAAAAAAAATCTACATTAATTTATATTTTAAATAACCATTACATATAATATGAATAAAAATAAAATTGATCAATCTAATATATTCTAATTGATTAATAATATTTCAAAAACTATAATTAATAATTAAGTTCAATATTTTATTAAAGTGATTTAACAAAGTTTTATCATCTATGAACAAAATAAATAAAACTTTAATTTTTATGTGACTTAAATATTTATAGAATTATTATATTTGCTTTTTGATAACTAAATATATTGAATAAAAAAATTATAATATAAAAATAATTGATATGACTAATAAGAATGTGATCTTAAGGTGAGTTTTAATTTACAAACTATCATCCTACAATGTTAAAACCGAACCGTATGGTTCTTTATGTCTGAATTTTTGGAAACCGTTACTATGCTAATTTTAACATAATTTTGTATATTTTGATATGTTTATATCAAATGATTGGAATAAGAGTGGCATAATCAGGAGAGACGTATTATGGGATAAATGTGACATAATCAGGAGATGTGTAATATGGGATAAGGGTGGCATAATCAGGAGAGACATATTTTGGGATGAGGGTGGCATAATCAAGGAGATGTATTATGAGACAAGGGTGACATAATCATCTATATGTGAAAACTGAGATTTTTGATCATATGACAAACTGTTATCGCATCTTTATGATGCGATGATTTTGAGTTTTCGCATCCTATTGATGCGATGAGTGGATTTTATTGCATCTTTGTGATGCAAGAAGAGAGTAAGGATGCGACAAATTAAGTTGTCACATCCTATTGATGCGATAAATAGTGTTTATCGCATACATTGGATGCGATGAGATGGTTCTCGCACCTGTGTGATGCGAGGAAATGGGGTTGTCTCACTCATGTGATGCGAGAAAATTTTGGTTTTATCTATATGACGCGATAAGTTTATTTGTTCCGCAACAAAGGGGTTATTTCATTATTTGATGCGATAAGTGGGTATTGTCTCATCATTTTGATGCGACAAGAAGAATGTTCATTAAAACGTTATTTATTTGTTATTGATACAAATATGAGTTTTATAAAAGTGTTTTGATGATTCTCACCCTCTAGTAGCAATCAAAAGAATTTCTCATTAGATCTCATGGTCTAACCCTCATTTTGGTGTTTTAAAATGTGCATTACAGGTCAGACATAATCAGATGATAAGGGAAAAGAGAAATTATGAAGAATTTATGATTGCTTGCAAACAATGCCTTAGTTTTTAGTTTTAAATATCATTTTGGCAAAATTTAATATATAATTATATACACGGATGATAAACAAATTAATTAATAAAAATTAATCTGACTTGCTTGCGGTTTCAACACTGATTTATAATTCAAAATCGTAAATCGAACTGTACAGTGCGGTTTGACCAAATACAAACCATAACCATACAACGAAATTTCTAAACCGTGTGGTTTGGTGTTGTGTAGGCAGTTTGATGAACTCCTGTAATAACGTGTGCCGTGTTTTTACCTGCCAGACGAAAAGTTTGGTGTCGGTATGATTATTGATTACCTCTTCTTTTGTCACCAACAATGAGTTTTTCAACATATTAATTAATAAAGAGTCTTCGTTCTCGACTTTAACCGAACGTGTGTAACTGAAAGAATTCAAATATAAAAACCAAACCAAACCAAAACAAGCGAATCAAGTATATTTTATTTTAAAGCAGAGTTTCAGTCTACGAGAGTAGGATGTATACAAACCTCAATTGAATCAACCATCATGATCGAGATGTTTCTGTAAAGACCCCCAACTTGTTCACGATAAAACAGTATCAGTAAACAAAACTAGTAGAATAGCAATTTAATTGTGTACATAATTCAATGATGTGAAAACAGACAAATAGCAGTAATGTAAATAGTAATTTAAGCAAGTAAGAAGCCTATTAAGAAAACTTCTGATCAGAAAGCTTCGTTTGGATTGTCTGTTTCCAGAAATAGAAACCCCAAGAATCTTGCATTCGATTACCGTTGTTAAATGCCATATTTTGAGTAAACACAGATCTAATATGCAGAAAATGGCATAAACCCTCTCTAAATACGATTAAAAGAAGCTAACTATATATAAACATCCTAAAATCGTTCAAAAATGGTCGATTCAGACACCAAGTTTCCAAAATTAGAAACGTCAAAAGTCTTGCAGTATCTGCATTCACTTCCCTTTCTTCTCGAAGCCCATCTGTCGAATACAAACGCAAGCTAACCGAGCTATAAACACGGCTCGAATACTCAAAAATGGTATCAAATTTCTCTAAATTCGGTAAAAGAAAAAAAAAACGAAGTTTTATTGTAAACTTGTGTATAATAAATCTATGGTGAAGTATGCATTTGGACATTGGCTAGAAGTCTTGTAAGTTTGGTAAGCGTTTCGCGAGCAGATACGGTGTCGGGATGATCCTCGCCGCATATCGAACTTCTAATGAAGATCGCTTTCCGGACCAAATCATCCCCGATATCGAATTGTCCCCCTCTTAGCATCAACTTCGCTCGGATTTCAAGAACGGTTGCTCGAGAAAGTGCTAAATCTTGCCATAAACTCGGGTTTAGTTGGGCATCTGTAGGAATCGGTTTCCAGCAAAGTGATTTATCGAGCCATTTTTCGACCGGTGTCACGAGTGCTTCATCGGCTGCCTCGAGTGCGTTGGTGCACAACCGCAAGAGTTCTAAAGCAGCGGAACATCGGGAAAATCGAATGAAGGTTCGTATCGCTAGCGGTAAGATTACTTCTTTCACAAGAAACGGCAATTCTGATGCTTTCGTTTCAATTAATACCGGATCTTTACTGAATCCCAATAGCAAGAAACACGCTGCCCAGATGTGGTCGGAGTTATGAATGATCGTACCTCGGGTGACAATGGCTCGAACCACGGCATGTGCGGTTCCAGCAACGCCTCTTTTTCGTGCATACAGTTTGGTTAGGTGGTTAAACTGGATGCAGCCCTCTTTCATACAGCTTCTAGCAAGGTTGAACCGTAGCAGGATCGAACTGGCTTCGGTTTCTGATTTCTTGTCGTATAGCGACGAACAGCCACACGTTAACGACCGCAAAATCTTCCTCCATAACCGAGTCCGATGATGTTTTTCTGGGATTCGTTTGGCGGCTAGAGCCAGTAATGGAACCGGGGTTGGCCCTGGTGCGAACCAGCCGCTTGCAAGGACCATTCGAGTTGCCAAGCTTCTTGGACCATCTGCATGGTCAAATATCGAGAAACAAACCTCGATGAGCTGCAAAAGAAACATATTTCGCCGTAAAGAATGACTCTCTCGTCCACTCGAAGGCATTCGATTGATCGTGTCCAGAAGCCGACTCGGGGTGATCGGAAGCTCGGAAAGAACGGCTCCAACAATGGCTAAACCTAAAGTCAGCCTCCCGAGTTTTTCTTCGATAGTACGTAAAGCATCGATTTCCGACACTGAAACTGAAACCGGACGATCGTTCACGTTTCCTTGCATTAAAGACATTGCCTCGACTCCGGATAAGAACGAAAGTCGTAACGGTTCCATATTCATCAACCGCGGGAGGCATGTCGATATAAGGACGTGTGTTTCTCCGCCAAAACGAGGAAGAAGATCGATAACATGTTTGTGATCCCACCAATCTTTTTCGGATTCTAAGTTGTCGATTACAACCAAGAAGGGAATATTTCTCATGAGCTCCTTCCGGATTCTGGCTACGGCCGTTTCTTCGTGTTCTTCGAAGCTTTTCGTTCTACTCTTCTCCAAACCAGTCTCGATGCCAACGTCAACTTCTAAAAACGACCATAAATTCAAATAATTTTGTCGAATGTATCTGCTTTCGCCTCCGATCCATAATACCATCTTGTACCTTTGATGAAACCGATATGCAAATTCAAGAAGTAACTCTGTTTTACCGATACCCGAGTCGCCGGAAACGCATGCAATTCCCTTTCCATACACAACTTTCACAGCCCGTTTTCGCCTCCCGGTTTTCAGTTTTGGAGAAAAGTCAGTACTTTGCATCTCAATTTCCTTCTCTGATTCCTTCCAAACCACCGGTTCTTTCCCTTTCCTCCTCCTACTTCTAAGCTCGGTTCTCGCCTCTCTTCTGTGTTCATCTATCGAATTGCTCCTACCCCAATTATGTATCAAATTCTTTCTTCTCGGTCTGGCTTTAAGTTCGAAATAGTCTCGTTCCCTGTCCCCGATAACGTCACCAAAAAGCATAAATTCAAGCTCCGAAAGTTCCTTTTTCCTCCCAATGAAGTTCTCGTTCCGAGGGTAAGGGAACTCTTCGTTTTCAACCTTTTCACGCCACTTTGTTAATCTATCGACAACGCTTCTCCGGCCCAACCGTAAAGCCAAGAGCGTCACAGCCCGAAGAATACAATCCCGCCATTTCCCATCACGAGCCTCGAGTTTCCATTCATCGACTCGAGTTAGACTGCTCACCGCATCTTTCCATTCGTTCTCTAACCCTCCATAAAGAAGCCATAGCTCTCCACCATGTCTCTCCCACGTCTCCCCTCTTTTCTCGACTATATCTCTCACGAGACAATCATCCGGGCCCACGTCAAAATAAACAGGGACCAGATTCTTTTTACTCGAAAAGAATCTTAGCTCCTCAATTGTAAACGGGTTCCTGAAAGATTTTCTTGTTAAGATAATGACCCCAAATGTGCATGCATCCATGGCCTTCTCTACAATCCCATGCTTTCGGGAGTTTCGACATTTTGCTCTATCTGTAACAAAACAACTCAATCCTTGTACTTCTAAATCAGCTCGAAGCCAGTTTACAAACCTTAATAACAGTGGTTTCCGCCCATGAAATCCTATGTACACGTCAAAGCTCTTTAATCTTGTAGGGCAGTACGAGGTTGAAGGCCGCGTAAAGGAGGATATTGGGCTTCGGGTGACTTTCTTTGGTTTTTCTCTGTAATCAAAAGCTTCACTTTCATGGCAGGGAGCATATAACAATGGGTTACTGGTGGAAAGGCCGTTTGAGGAAGTCGTCTGCTCAAAGTTTTGTAGATCGCTTGACGTACTTGCAGCCTGAACGGGGCCATCTGAAATCCCAAATGTAGATATTGTTAAAGATTTGAAATCTAACACCGGAATCTAATAAAAATTAGGTTTAAATTAGTGAAAATTAACAAGGAAATGACGGTAGGCATACCATCACATGGAATTAATCCTGAAAGATCAGATGGCTGCCAAGATGATGATCTTGGAGAGAAGAATGGTGATTGGTTTGCTGAGAAAAACACCGATGATGACGATGATAAATTCCTTAGAGTTGATCCAAGTCTTGAGCTTTCTTCTCGTAAATCCATATTCTTATAATCAATCCCTCTTAGAACAGATTTTAGAACAGATTCTGGTCATCTGAGAATCAATTAGAATGTTTCAAGATTTCCAGTCTAAAATGCTCTGCAAGAACTAATATGATCTAACAACAGCAATAATATTCAAATTCGTGGAGGAACTATTCAACTACAATAATAACTTTTCAGATGATTTCTGGGATAAAAATGCAGAAAAACTCCAATCTTTAACAATACTTTTGGTTCGGATTCATATTGGTGAAGAACAAGAGGAACCCAACTAAGCCTAAAAGCTGAAAACAATAAAGAACACAAAAAATCAATATTTCAAGAAAAAATTCGAACACATTCCTGGAACAAGAAAATTAAAACCACGAAATGGATGCAAAGATCTTGGAGCAATCAACGAACTTTGAGCCCTATGGCATTATAGATCTAAAGAACCACTTGCAAACACAAATAATCTTCTAATTAATAGTTTATATTATAATGTTTCAGATCTGGAAGTAAGACGAGAGAGAGAGAGAGAGAGAGAGAGAGAGAACCCCTTACTTGCTGTATAGCCATGGATACCATCAAATCACCCATAAAGATTGCATCCTTTCACAATCAAACCAAATCCCACTTGCTCAATTTGAATGACACACCCAGAAAAAAGGATAAATCACGAAACCCCAAATCTTGAAGCTTGTTAATCTGACCTAGTCAAGAAGAAAGTCAACTGTTACATAAATAGATACATAGATACATGTCTGTATCTGAAACATCCTACCCGGGTGAATGCGAAGATACAGAAAGCGGGAGTTGACAATGAGAAAAACAACAACCCTAATCTTTTAACTGGGGAAAGTGAAGTAAAAAGCGAGTTTTTGCCATTTTGAAGATAGATTTGAAAATTGACAGAAACCCTTTTTTTGGGGAGGAAAAAGGGAAAAGATTTGATTTGGGGAGGAAGGTTTTTACCTTGCAGAAGAATAAGAAAGAAAATCTTCAAGGGTTTTGTTCACACCCACCAATCGAGTTCAAACCTAGAGACACTGCACTAAACCCTTCTCTCTTTCAGTGTGTGGACCTATATATACACATATATATGTATGTATATGTCTGGGAAATTGAGAAATTTTCGGCTGACAAAAGAAAAAGAGAGAAAAGAAAGCAGAGGGATATGTATAGGACCCAACAAGAGGACGGATCTGACGAGGTTATGGCTTGTGTCAAAGGTTCAAACTTTTTTTCAACCCAAGGGATTATTCGCAAGTCCACCAGGTCAAAACTCAAGTATAATATGTTTCAGATTTAATCTTTATAATATTATTATCATTTTTATTTTTAAAATAAATTCTTTTTTAAAAATCAAAAATCATAAACATTATTATCTTCGGTTCTTTTCATACCATTTTGAAAAAGCTTTGACCATTTCTTGATTATGTAACGGAATTCGTTAACACGTATCCCTTCGGTCTTTTTCACACCCTTTAAAAAAAGTTTTGACCTTTTTCTTGATTTTCAAAAGAACAATAAAAAACGTTTTCCATATATGGAACCGTTTTGAGCATTTTTAGATTCAAATGTATATGTTCGATCTTTTTTGTATCATTTATAAAAAGTCAAAATATAAATTTTGAGCAATTAAAAAACGGGGATGTGTTGTTTTTGGTGTTTGTTGGGTAATGAATGAGAAATTGAAGAAAAAATGGGTATTTGCAATTGAAATAATGGGCATTCTTGAAAAGGTTGCCATCACATCTATAACTTATTATTGTACTTCACAATTACAATTGACTAATAATTATTTTCCCTTTTTAGAAAAAAATAGTATATATGTTTTTTAAAAGTTTAAGGATATTGGTGGACTACTAGTTTACAATTCTAGTTTTGGTTTCTAGTTTTTCTTTGCATATCAATTATAAGTTGACTACTTTTGGTTTATAATAATTAAACCTTTTTTTTAAATTAAATGATGATTTTGTTTTTTAAATTTGTTTTTATCATTGGTTTTATTAGAGCATTTACAATATATCTATAAAATGAAATAAAATAAATATTTTTACACGATTTTTTTAAATAAAGAAAATATCATACATAATACAAAATTTCTCTAAAGAATTCTTCAAAATTAAGTTTTAGAGGAGAAATAATATTTTATTTATTTATTTTGGAGTAGAAATAATGAAAGATAAAGATAAAAGTTAATATTTTTAAAAGAAATTTGTTTTAAAGTTTATTGAAATAATAATCGTATCAGTGAAAGATTGTGTGAGAAAAGGAGTTCATGTGAAAATGATAAGAAGAGATTTAGATTTTTAATCACTTTTAATCTTATCCTACCTCGTGAATTGTGTTTATCAAGGGAATTGATCTGGTTATTAGACTTTGATATTGATCTTTTGTGGAAAATTTCAAATTTCCTTCTTTATTTTGGAGAATTATGAAGAAGTTGTTGGTGATATACTTTGTTTCGTAAACTTGTTGAGATTTTCAAGTATTAAACAAAACATATACGAAATACATCCAAGATCAATCCAGAACTTCTAAGTTTTCAAAGAATAACTGCAAAGCATAAATCATCAAAAAAGATTGTTGTCAGATAACCAAACCTACATGTGATTACAAGTTTGAATGATCCACATTATTCTTGCTTTGAAAGCAAAGAAGTATAATCTTATTACTTGTAATTCTAAGTGTATTACAGTTTCGATTTTACTACAAAGAATTGTATCATAAAGGATCTTGAGTCTTAAAAATACTCACATAAAATGAACGTAACCAAGTTGAATGAACCACTATACATCATAGTGTTTGTATTCAGTGGCGAATCCAGATTTTTTTTGTCTAAGTTAGACCAAAGGCCTGCAAAGTCGTCCAACATGTTCTTAGCCTGATTACACCATTTTGAGGGATTTTTAAAGTTTTTTAGTGGATTTCGAGGGAGTTTTAGTGTTTTTTGTCGATTCAAAGGACTTTTTCGGTTTTTTGATTGATTTCAATAGATTTTTTTGGTTTTTTTGTTGATTTCAAAAGACATTTTTAGAGCCGACGATGGTCGGTTAGGATTGTGAATTCCCTTGCAAAAATTTATAAGAGGGAAGTAAGTGTTTTTCAATAGGATCCCTTCCCTCCACTCCTTCACCCCTTCTCCCAATTTTCCTAACAAAACTTATAGACTTCTCATAACTGGTAACAATATTTTATCATTTTTTATTTTTTACCATACCTGAAACTTTCTTTTCTTATAAATATTTTTATAAGATATTAAATAACAATACCAAATTAAATAAAAATATTTATGTTGATCCACTTTTGTTAAAATCAAAACAAACATTCCATATTTAACAAAGCTACAATCAAACTTGTACGAGAGATGGAGCTTAGAAAATTACATCCCGTTTAATTGCATTATTTTGATCATTGAATTCGTAATAATCACTTTGAAAACACATATATTAGAACTCCCATGAATTCTTGGTCAAACATATTCTTCGTTATTTTGAAGATTATAAGGTTGTTGAGTTTTGTTGGACATCCAACATTTTATATATACCCTTATGTGATCATAAGATCTCTCATTCTCTCTATGTCTATACCTATATCTATATCTAAATCAAATAAAAATAGCATTCGTGGAAACCTAACGAGACAAAACTCCAAAAGAAATCGAGCAAAAGGGTGGTAGGAAAGGTAGTAACAAGAAAAATGGGAGAAATTGAGTTATTGGCCCCATATTTGACAATTTAAGCGATAGTGATAGATAATGTTATGAGCATATTAATTAGGGCCATAAACAACAACCGAGTTTCATTTGACATTTTATTGCATGCTTTTTTTAAATGTAAAAAGAAATTTATCAAAAAAACAAAAAAAACAAAGCTGATTGTAATAAATGTCTCATTACAAGATGATGTTTTGGTCATGTTACATCAAGAGTGTAACGAAATATTTGATGCATGTCATATGAGATTGTTTTTTGAGACACGTGATTATAAGACTATTGATGCTTTATAATATACGGAATGTGGTAGACCAACTCAGTGGTAGTAGTTGTAAAGGGACGGGTATGGTCCGTATAGAAGTTCGCAATAAGAGTAAGGTTGAGTCTAGCCATAGTACACTTTGCATAAGCCAAGAGAATGTGTTTCTCATGCTGTTATATGTTACCGTAAGAGCAATATTGGGTCTTTCCAATTTGCTAAATGTTTACCGTAAAAGTACAAGAAATTGGGTCATACCAATTTAAAGAACTTTACTTTATGAGCGCGACAAAGCGGATCATGCCACATAGCTTACAATACGTAATCTAAATAGCCAATATTACTCGAGAAGTTTGTATGTATCGTATTAAGATATTTCATGCATTGTGTTTTGAAATACTTTGAATATAACGTATGCATATTTATAGTAAAGATTAATGTGTGTATTAATGTAGCCTGAAAATGAATGACATGAATACTACATAAGATCATGAGCTCACTAGGGCCTATACTTACCAAATTCTTTTAGAAATCAATGAAACTCATGCTAGTGTTTGATACTGTTATCGTAACAACCTTAAAAAGGTAATCAGTTGGGATAGAAGTTGGAAAAACAGAAGTTGTGGGGTTTGTTTCAAGTGTCATAAAGGAGTCATTAGACCTTATGTGAATCATTAAAAGGAAGGTTGAGAATATCATGTGAGTTTCACATGTTATTTTTGTGAATTGTGAAGATAATGTTGTATGAAATCATAAAAATGTTTGTGACATGAGATTGCAAAATATGGTAAACATGCAATTATGTATTATAGCTTTTAAGGATTAAATGTTTAAAATGGCAACCTACTTTTATAAAATTTTTTATTATAACATTCTATTTATTTATTTATTTATTACAACAATGTACTTTAAAATTACTTTTTATTAGGATATCGTACTTTGAAAATTTTACCCATTATAGCAATGGGTAACTTGTTACCTTTTAAATCGGTTAATCCATTTACTTTCTTATTGCTTGCTTGGCTTCAATGAGGTGATGTGGATGACACATTGTTTTGATAACATGGTTAAAATAAAAAAGTAAAACTAAAAACCTATTTCAAATTATTATTAATGATTTTCATTTTTCATTGCTACGATTTGAATTTTTTTTTTATTATTTTTTTTGACTTTTTATTTAAATATATTTTTTAAATAAATGTGATATATTATTTTCGAGATAACTATTTTGTTTGTAAAAAAATGTAACACTTCTTATTTTATTTTATTTTATTTTAAAAAATACATATCTTTTAAAGTTATTTTTACAATGTTAACGAGATAAATTGTGATCTATAATTTTTTTTAATATTGTTATATTAATAAAAATAATTTAAAAAATCTAAATATTTTAATATATTTATATGTCAAGCAATATTTTTTAAACAAACATGATATATTCTTTAAAAGATAACATTTTTTTTTCTTTTTCTTTTTTATAAAATACAAATTTTTTAAAAATGTTAGCGAGATAAATTGTTTTTTGCTAGTTTTATTATAGTACATGTTGTAATAAGAAATGTCACATCACTATCGTACATGTGGACAACCTACTTGGACAGTGAGATGACATGGAAACATAGTATAATAGATAAATTTAAATAAAAAAACTACTCAATGCTATAATATGTAAACTTTTCAAAGTACAATGTTCTAACAAAAAATAATTTGAAAGTATCTTGTTGTAATAAGAAAAACTGAAAATACAATGTCATAATAAGAAAATTTATAAAAGTGTGTTGTTATTTTATGCATTTGCCTTTTTTGAAAATGCATTAACATATTTTTTTTAATGATATGTGCAAGTCTCTTTGCCTTGTACAATGGGGGAGGTGACAAGACCGTACATTACAACAAAACTGGG